CAATGCCCAGTCGAACAGGTGACCACTGCCACAACCGAAAAGGTGTGGGTGTGGTTCGTACGTCTCCTCGTGGTTGGTTTGGAATGAGGGTTTTTGGCCAACTCCCCTAGGTGAACTGCCAATGGTCCACCAACCCAGTTATAACCCCTGATGTCGGCTTTTTGTCCTCTCACTTTGGTGATAAAGCACCTCCGCCACAAGGAGGCAGTGAGTAGGGCTTCCTCAGCGGAGGCTATTTGAGACGGTTTGCCTTATGGGAGCATTTTTGCGAGGTGTAAGGGAAGGTTAACCAGCCGCAACCCTAGACACCCACTCCCGACCATACTGAGGCATTGTTCTTAAGGCCTTTTCCTCCTCCTTGTGATGTTCATTTACGTGCCTAATCTACGTTCATTTTTGATTCACCTCCCATTGTAATGTATGATTACACCTCGGACAAATTAATCACATGTTTTGAGTAGAACCAAAGGTGAACGCTGTGTTCTCTCTCTGTCTGTCTGTTTCCATAGTCTGCTCTTGCTTCGCCCGCCTACTTGAGTCGTTGCCTAACGCGGTTAGTTTTACCAGCCTGTGTGTGGCGTGCTGGACGAACGGCCGAAGCAATGCGTAAAGCAGCTAGCACTTGCTTGGTCGCACTGATTGCCGCTGCAAGCTCGATCTACGATATAGATGAGGCTTCCGTGGACGCTCGAACGGATGAAGAAGTTCGTCTGGATTCGTGGTTATTAGGACAGTCGGAACCCGTTCGACGCCTGTTGGGACCGAAAACAGAAAAGATTGAACGTAGTAGTAAGCTTATATTCGTCTATAATACTCACCCGAATACATTCACCGAGACCGTCAATTTATCAATCCCCTATCTGTTGATTTCTTTTTTGAAATGATTGTTGTGTGTGCTACAATTCAAGTTAACATTGCATGGTACCTCTATAGAAGAAAACGGATGATACATGTTCATGCTCACTGAAGTGAATAGTTATCTTGATTTGGAATGTGTTATCGCCAACTGGATTGTATTGTGGTGTCGTGAAGCTATGCTGCGGAGAGCTCCAGGGCGGTAGCTTATTCCGCACACGAAACCCGAAATGTGTATTGTTGCTTTTATTTACCAGGAACACTTTGTGTTGAACGGAGGTGCTTTCCCACCAAACTGAGGTCAACATCCGAGGCTATAATTGGGTTGGTGAACCACTCGGAGTTCACCTAGGGAAGTTAGGTAAAAACCTTGATGCAAAAGCAACCAAGAGTAGACGTACGAACCACAAGCACCCACATTCTTCTGGTTGTGGCAGTGGTCACCCTTTCTATTGTACGTCGAGGTTTATTGAACATCTTGGACGTTTGATCCCGTTCACAGGATGTGTGATCCGATGAATTGGACACCGGCTCCCAACGGACTGTGGACTCTGAGCTCCGTCCTGCTGTGTTGCAGGTCTGGCTTTCTAGCCAGAGGCTTTGGGTGGGGATCTCGAGATTATCCTGCTTCAACCGGGAAGCGATATGCTCACACAACCTATGAACACATTGTACATATTTTTTCTTGTGTTGTGGCACACTGGTCTATTCCATGTAAATGGTTGTGTTGAACATATATACATTATTATATATATTATGTGTATGAGCCCCAGCAACAAAAAATAACAGGGAACGAAGATGTTGTGTTACAAGTGAGAAGGGGCTCAGAGAGTTATAGTGGGTAATCAGACTAACGTGCATATAGCAGTACTCAACAAATCTATCGTTTGTATTACAGACACTTTAGTGGTTAGCACCAGAAGCCCCATATTTTGCTATCCACCACTAGTGGTGGTTGTTTCACAGCCTGTACTCTTGCTTTTACTCCAATATCTCCTACTGGGGTACAACTTGGCTCCATGGCCCTTATCGATAGGTTTTTATGGGAATGGGTCAAGAAGTGATGATCCTGGCGCTGTTCGGTTGTTTTACTACTCGATGACTTAGTTCAAAATAGGCGAGGGGTTGGCGATACTATATTCGCATCTTTGATTCAGTGTTCGTCCTATATCCTTTGCCTGCAAAGCAGCAGGGTTATTCCAGACAAACCTATTGTCCAGTCTATTTGTCTTCCCGTGAAAACCATGGCGTTTAGATGGGAGCTGTGTCTCTATTCGGTGACGGTCCGCGATCGCCACGTCGCAATACTGTCAACTAACTTGAGCAGTGTTTTGCTTTTGTTTTTTGTTGGGTGCATGAGGCTAAGGGCTGATCCCGAAAAGCGGACCGATAATCAGCGTACCAGCGAACAACAAACTTAACCAAAATTCAAAGGCCTTGCGTGACAGGTCTCCAGAAGCTCCCACACGGGTGCTTCGTTCACGCTCCCGGGTCGGATTTACACCCCACTGCCTTGTGGGTCAGACTCTTAAGTCAAAGGCTCCGTTTAGGGTTCCCAAAGAAAAACCCCTTCGTTGGTGTGGGCTACCGCGAAGTATGTCGCGCCCTAAAGTCTTGGGCACCCATTTGGAAAACATTTCTTCTCAGCTGTCTAGTTCTTCTCAACCCCGAGTAATCCTAGATGCCTCCTGTTAACGCCACCCATCGAATATCACTCAGCGTTTTACCATCAAGGCCAGAGATTTAGAAGCTATAGGAATTTTAAAGCCAAAATCCCCTTTTCACTTGGCCGCGTTCAATGTCCGCACGCTTTATCAGATTGGCCAACAAGCTGCCCTGGC